TATAAGCGGAAGTTATGGGTTCTTGAGGCAAATGTGTTCCTCATGAGGAGAGGCATCTCTGTGCAAAGTTTCATGTCTCTACGACATACGGGGCATGAGATATGCCCATTCAAAGTTTGACATTTCAATGGGTTGCTATAGCGCCCCCCTTTGGCCAATTGATGTAATATTGCTTCATTGGCATCCTCCCATGACCCTCTACCACTGTGCCAAATTTCACATGGATTGACCAAGTCAGTGAGGAGAAAAACATGGAACACACACACACACACACACACACACACACACACAGAGTTTTCCTCATTATATAGTGAGATAAAATAGATGAATAATCCATGTTTAACTATAGATTGAGTGTAACACTTTGTAGGATACTTCTTTCACTTTATTACTAATGCCATATTTATTTAAAACACCACAGGCTGTAGTTCGCTGATGATAGACGACCAGAAGGATCTTGCTGCAGGGGCTGTAGTATAGTTCAGTGGTGTGTGATGTGTGTGTTACTGCAGGGTTTATCTTGAACATTGATATCTCCAATAACAATGTGCTGAGAGCTAAATGAGTTGGTTTCTGTGAGGTTACAGTTCTTTAAGAACAGAGGAGAACCAGCAGGAGCTGCACTGAAGATAACAGCATATTCTTTAAGTGTGATTGTTATCTTGAATTTGTGAACAAGTTCTGAGTATGACACTAACATCATTTTCATTTAATAGATTAATTCTGTTGTGACACCATGAGCCTTAAAACAGGGATTTTCTTTTGTGTAGAATGTCCTTGTTGTTCTGATGTAGTACCTTATAAACTAATAACCACGCTAGGAGAGCTTGTTTGTGAGAATTAGAAACTAAGTGGGATTTATCAGTGGAGAAATTACATTTGAATAAAAAATCAATGCCACCAATCGAATTAAATAAATCAGATGGGAAAGCATGCATATATTGTTGGGATTCTTTAGGAACTCAATAAGCCACTTCACTTTACATGTATTATTTAATTTTATCTTAGTCAGAGAGAGTATATGCACTAAGGATATTGAACCGCTCTCAGTTTCTCTGCGCCCTCCCTACTTGCCTCGGGAATTCCCACAAATATTCATAACTGTCGTGTTCATTCATCCAAAAGCCTCACAGAGCTCTGCGTCAGATCTGATCCTGCAAACCGTGCAGAAGCTGCAATCACTGTGTCCTGAAGCTCCTAACTTCATTATGGGCGACTTTAACCTTTGCTTGCTGAACAAAACTATCAGGAACTTCTACAGATATGTTACCCGTCCCACCAGAAAGGGAAAGAAATTGGATCAATGCTATGGCCAGATTAAAGGAGCCTACAAATGCATACCACTTCCCCCTCTAAGCCCAGTCGATCACAACTGCATTCATCTGATGCCCACATGTGGCACTTGCCTGCAGAGAAGGAAGGTGACCACCAGTAAGGTGAAAGTCTGGACGGAGTCCAAACTGGCACTGCAAGGCTGTCTGGACTGCACAGTGTGGGAGGACTTTACTGAATCATCTCAGGACTTAGATGAACTGAACTCACAGATGTTGTCAGCTCATACTGTGAGGATATTGTAACCCCCCAAAAGGAAGTGAAGATCTGTCCTAACAGTAAACCATGCATGAGCAAACATCTCAAACTCTTACTGAAAAGGGAAACTGGGCAATCTTTCTGCGCTTAACTCCCTCCAAAGGGAAATCAAACTTGAAATCAAGAGGGCCAAGCTGTGCTATAAACAAACAGTTGAAAACAAGTTGAGGAGCAACAACTTGGGCTCAGCTTGGGACAGTATTAGAACCATGACTGGACTAAATGACAAAGGAAAGAAAAGGGTGGCACTAGAAGGCTTCACCTCAGACATGGCACTAGCACAGGAACTTAACAAATTTTACTCTAGATTTGATATCCATGATTTTAGTAGTGAAAAATGAACTTTTCTGAGCTCCAGTGATTTCACTCCCTCCTCTTCTGTTCAGGATGTTGTGAATACTTTTAAGCACTGCAAGATGAACACAAGCCCTGGCTCTGACCATATTGGCAGCCGTTTGCTGATCCACTGTGCCGACCAACTGGGCCCCGTCTTTAACCATATTTTGAATCTGTCACTCAGTCAACAGAGAGTTCCGACCTTGTGGAAACAATCCACAATTGTTCCCATCGCCAAAAACAGCTGCCCTAAATCCCTGAATGAT